TGTAAAATCCTTTATTTTATTCAGCACCAAATATCCTACTTTAAAAAAATCCTGTATTCTATACTTAAAATTTCTATTTGGCGTTTCTTCACAATTTCGTGATTAACCTATTTGTATTCATCCATATTTTTGTATAGTATCTTATTTTTATTTCTATTTTTCTTTGTTATACAAAACAATATCAATATTTTGCAGTAATGAATAAAACAAATAACCTAAAAAAAATTTTTTGATTAATTTTAATGAGAGCACAAAGCACTAAATTAATTAAATAATTTCTTATAATATGAAAACTAGAGTTATGAGAATCGTAGCAGGTATTTGAAAATTTACAGTAATAAGTGAATATATTGTTTCATAATAATTTTAATAGCTTAATTTCACGATCCAATTTTCCAATGTAAACGTAAAAGATGTACATTTGCTTTCATTTCTATGATTTTATTTGTATAAATATATTTTATTGAATATAAATCATTTTTATAATTAAGTAATAATTCATCGATAATTAGCCAAGAAAAGTATTTAACCTACCTTCCACATAGTGATTTTAATAACCAAAGAATTGGACTAAAAAAATGCTATATTTTGGCATGGTATTTGAATAGAACTTTGATTATTCCACCTCTGTTACTGTTTAAAGGACGTGCTCCAATTTCAATATCACGATATAATTAACTATATAAAATTTTATTCACCCTTATTGCAACCGATAAATTTCAAAACAAGAAGTATCTTATACAATGTGGAATTGGGAAAAACTTATGGGTTTTACATTTGTGAAACAAAACATAAAGTATATCCATCGTCAATATTTCAATTTTACACACTTGATAGAATCACTTCATATTAGTATTAACACTGAAGTATATCAAGTAACTAATAGTCTATTACAACAATATAATGATGGTCCTACATCAATAACAGAACTTGGAAAAGAATGTGTAAATCTAATTGACTTAAAAAACAGAAATGAAAAATTATTACATTTTGGAAGTTTATATGCTCGATTAAAGATTGTTACCCAACTTTCTGAAAATCAAAATTTTCGAAGCCAGTTAAGACATGAAATGTTAATAAATAATTTAATGATAATTAAAATTGTAAATAACTTTGTCGATAAAATTGGTGGGACTGATAATTTTATTGGTGTACATGCAAGAATAGGTGATAGCGGATTTAAAAGGAACAAAATCAAATGGTACAAAAACTTATCAAAAGTCTTCAAGAAGATTTTAAACATATAAAAGTAAAAAATAATAGTCCTTGTTCACAAAAAAAGATATTTTTAGCTACAGATGTGCAAAAGAATGACACTTCCATCCAACCATTCTTTCAAACTTTTCACTGTATATATGTTTTAGGTGATTTTAATGATTTATTAGAACCTTTAAAATCTTTAAAAAAACCCTAGGGATGGTAAGGTCATGTAACACAATTTGTAGATTTACTAGTAGTTTCAAGAGGTAATAAGTTCTACCAAACAGAAAAAGTACTTTTTCAGACTATGCTAAATTCTTAAATAGAATTTGGTTAGATAAATTGTTAGTTAAATTTAATAATTTGGATGCTTATTAGATTTTATTAAACACGAAAATAAAATGGTATACATCATTATTAAAAACAAGAAAAATAAACCTGTTATTGGGATGTCCTATACTAATAACAGTCGCATCTAACTATGAATTTAATGCGTTTGCACTTGATCCCCTGCGGCAGAGGCTAGCACTGCTCAGCTAACGACTAACTCAATCTGGAAACGGGTGCTGTTTGGATATCCGGAGTAAATTTCACTGGTTGACTGGTCGTTATAAAGAAGCTTGTTTAAAGAGAGTAACTGTATTATAATATTTCATTGGTCAAATGATTTTTCAAGAATTTTATCAATCGCCAAGGGTTTCGTCGAACAAGCATGTTAACGAAACGTTTTCGTCATTGCAGAAATATTTTCATCAGGTATCATTATCCTATGCACATGTTCATTATTTTGAAATTCCGCTTTTTTGATTGACTCAAAAAACGTTCATTCAAAATTTTTATGATGTCATAAGTCTAATTCTGGCCTCCTGGCCGGCTTTAATTCCATCTCAAGCTAGGAACAGATATACAAATCACAAATTTAGTGATAGAGCTATAATAAGCTTAATTTCTAAAACTTTGAG